ACGGTAGCTATACAACAATAATGTTTAAAACATGCGAAATATCTTTCAAAAATGTTAATGGGTCTCTAGGTTCGTGACGTAAAATTATTGTTTTTATTGCATGATCAACACAAACATAACGTTTAGGTTTCTTTGCTGACAGTACATCGTTATGATCACATCTCTCCAATACTATGTCATCATGTATTGTGTGAACTCTTGCTCGACATGTTCTAACTCCGCGATGACCGCTGTTTGTCTTAAATAAGCATTAGTCACCTGATCACTAAGGTGTGACCGACGCATAACTATTGAATTTAGCTATTAGTTGTATTGTTCATGGAGGGCGGATGTCTTTCCCTTAAGGCAGGGGTCGGCAACCTTTTGAAGCGAAGAGCCAAAAGTTACAATTTTCCAAATTTCCCTGGTTTTAAAGAGCCACTAACATTTTTTAAATTTCAAATATTTTATTTTTTTATTAAGATTATTAGTATTTGTTCAAGGAGCTGGAAAGCCGCATCTTGATATCAAAAGAGCCGCATGCGGCTCGCGAGCCGTAGGTTGCCGTCCCCTGCCTTGAGGCATGTCTCTGCCATCAAAGCGGGCGGCCACCTTGATACGAAGGTGTGTCTTTATTGTTATTTCATCCTCTTTTATCTAGTTTCGTCCACCTGACATGTTTGGATTGTCTCATGTTTGGCAAGCCCGCCTACGCTGTCTATCGAACAATTTCTTTAATCTTCTATAGTAATAATCCTAATTTTAAAATGCAATATACAATTTTATAAGTGCAATATGATAAATTTATACGGCAAACATTTGTTACAATTATCATATGGGCCTATAAACAATATTAAACATATTAAACAAAACCATACGACAGTTAATAAAAATTGTTCAGATCAACTAAAGTCACCCAATACTCTATTAAAATTTAGGTGTGAGATATTTTGTCTGAGATATTTTGTCTGAGATCAATTGTCCGTGGTATCATTTGTCCTGATATATTTTGTCCTGGTATCTTTTGTCCGTGAGATAATTTGTCCTTGAGATCATTTGTCCTGAGATCATTTGTCCTGAGATCATTTGTCCGTGAGATATTTTGTCTGAGATATTTTGTCTGAGATCATTTGTCCTGAGATCATTTGTCCATGTTGTGTACATTGTGGTATGTGTTAAGTATATATTAAAACATGTTGTGTACATGTTAGTTGCAAGATAATTAAAAATCTGATCATTTATTTGAGATTAGTCTAATGAGAAATTTTGAATGACATATTTCCTTTTTTAGACTAGTAAAGCGTTACGTCTTGAGAAGTATAAACAGCTTTTTGAAAATGTATATTCCCATCCCCATCCACTTATTAGGAAAATCCACATCCACATCCACATCCACATCCACATCCACATCCACATCAAATCATGCATCCTAAATCCTACGTTCTGCAGCTCTATGCCTATGCCTATGCCTATGCCTATGCCTATGCCTATGCCTATGCCTATGCCTATGCCTATGCCTATGCCTATGCCTATGCCTATGCCTGTGCCTGTGCCTGTGCCTATGCCTATGCCTATGCCTATGCCTGCTGAATAGTTTACTACCAAAACCACGTGTACTTCTTTCCAATAAGGAAATATTTCAATGTTTCTGTTCACGTGTCTATACTCCTGTAATTGAACCTGCTTTGTTGCAACAGATGGTTATTTTTTTCTTTCTACACATAGGTGTATACGTTGTTTTGGTATGTTGAGATATCAAAAAACTATACCGAATATCAGTGTTGTGTTCAGACGTATATCTCACTAATCGCTGTACGGTCCCAAATTACACATGTTAGTTTCACAAATTCTATCAATAATTTGGGCTAGGACATTAATCCCAGATCAATTTACTAACATTCGCTTAACCTCTGATACTAACGGGTATTACTGTCCAATATTAGAATATTTATTGTTCGTGAAATATGAGATAATCAGTATTTTATTTAATGCTCGGGTTTTCTAAGAAAATGCTTGCTGTGGCCAAAAGTAATATGAAGAAATGCGCTTGAACCACCCATAAGAACGACAACCTCATACTAACACTAAACCATAACCATAACCATAACCATCACCATAACCATAACCATAACCATAACCATAACCATAACCATAACCATAACCATAACCATAACCATAACCATAACCATAACCATAACCATAACCATAACCATAACCATAACCATAACCATAACCATAACCATAACCATAAAACCATAACCATAACCATAACCATAACCATAACCATAACCATAAAACCATAACCATAACCATAACCATAACCATAACCATTAACCATAACCATAACCATAACCATAACCATTAACCATAACCATAACCATAACCATAACCATAACCATAACCATAACCATAACCATAACCATAACCATAACCATAACCATAACCATAACCATAACCATAACCATAACCATAACCATAACCATAACCATAACCATAACCATAACCATAACCATAACCATAACCATAACCATAACCATAACCATAACCATAACCATAACCATAACCATAACCATAACCATAACCATAACCATAACCATAACCATAACCATAACCATAACCATAACCATAACCATTAACCATAACCATAACCATAACCATAACCATAACCATAACCATAACCATAACCATAACCATAACCATAACCATAACCATAACCATAACCATAACCATAACCATAACCATTAACCATAACCATAACCATAACCATAACCATAACCATAACCATAACCATAACCATAACCATAACCATAACCATAACCATCACCATCACCATCACCATCACCATAACCATAACCATAACCATAAACATAAACATAAACATAAACATAAACATAAACATAAACATAAACATAAACATAAACATAAACATAAACATAAACATAAACATAAACATAAACATAAACATAAACATAAACATAAACATAAACATAAACATAAACATAAACATAAACATAAACATAAACATAAACATAAACATAAACATAAACATAAACATAAACATAAACATAAACATAAACATAAACATAAACATAAACATAAACATAAACATAAACATAAACATAAACATAAACATAAACATAAACATAAACATAACCCTAACCCTAACCTTAACCCTAACCCTAACCCTAACCTTAACCCTAACCCTAACCCTAACCCTAACCCTAACCCTTACCCTAGGTGTGAAGTATCATGGAGGTGAGAAATTTTGAGGGGAGGGCAGTGGTACTGATTCCTCTTTGGTCTTCACCTTGCTCGAACATGATGGTCGTAAATTACATAACATACTATCTCTGCTGGGCTGAGAACAGTAATCCATGTTACCAACAAAGATGAAGTTTTAGGGTGGGCTAGAAACAGATGGTTGCTGGGTATCATGTAGGTAAGAAATTGTGAGGGGGGGAGCACCGTTGTTTGTGATCGCTTCCCTGCTGGACCATGAGGGTTATACATTACGTAACATGCTACCCAGATTGGCTGAGATCAATGAACAGCAGTGCTTGTTACCTCAGAAGGATACAGGCAGTTTTCTTGGGGGTTTTGTAAGAGTTAAGTGGTCTCACATTGGTTCAGTCGTGTAGATATATTAGATCTATTGCTACTAAATCTTGTACTTAACTAGAGAATCTAGAATCTAGGTGTAAAAAAAAATATATACATTACTGCATTTTATGTCAACAAGAATATGAGGATCTTCAATTCCTAAAATTTAGTTTTTTTTACGTATCTTTCCTGTAGGTGCGAGGCTTTTAATATATGATGAACACATTTTTAGATACGTCCAGCGCTGCGCAACAGCTGATTGTTTGCTGGCGGTGTGGACCGCTGTGGCGGCGGATGTAGGTAAATTGTGATTTAGGTCACGCGTTTGCAAAGACTGTATATATATATATATATATATATATATATATATATATATATATATATATATATATATATATATATATATATGTTGTGTGTGTGTGTGTGTGTGTTTATTTCAGTTACTCAATTAATACTTTAAATGTAGTTTAAAGTTGCTTCATTTACCAAGTTGTTCTGTAACGTTGCATATAATACAACATGTAAATCTTTAAAGTAAGTAGGCTACGTTCCTTCTTTTTAAGTAATGAAGTAGAAAGCTTTAGGGTTAGACGCTAGCGGGCTGAGAGTCTTATTAGTGATTCGGCTTAACATAGTTGCCAGATAATGTCATGATGATTGTTTGTTTTTCCATGTAGTGTACTTATTGCTTGATTACACATAATTCTAACTAAATTTATATCACTTCTCATATTTGGGTACATTTATGATGTAAAAAATCGATGTAATATGTCGATGTAAAATAGCAAAGTAAAATGATGATGTAAAATGTGACACAAATACTACCTAATGTGCTAATCTCAATAAGTTCTGCGACTATTGCCCGAAAGTCACTTGTCTGATTGTTAATCTGCGATATATTAGCCAAGTGACTTGCAATAGTCGCAGAACTTTTACTAACAAATAGGCTACATGGTTACCCTGTTAGAATTTACAAACTGTAAAAAAACAAGGAACACAAATTGTTCATCATTTTACATAAACCTACGGCAGACATGCACTTGATCTTGTTGATCTACAAGTTACTTTGGGCAGATCATTTCAGGACTTGAGTTAAATTCACCTTCCGTCCATGGTTTTGATCTTTAATAAATGTACAAACAGTTGAAAAAAGTAACTCGAAAATATGAACTTGAGAAAAATATTTTAATATAATTCAACCCACAAACAACAACTAAAAAAGTCAAAAGTCTGGAAAAAAAATCAGAATAACACATTTGTTTTTGTTGTAAATCTTTTAAAATAATTTCTTAAATGTACTCTTCATCGAGTTATTAGTATGTTATGAAGTTGAAGTATTCTAACTATCCAGCAAATATTTGCAATTCTATGTAGTAGTATTAATGTATTCTATTTTTGTTTTAGTTTTGTGTTATGTAAGGGAAAGTACTGAGAGAGGATAAATGAAAATTAGCATGATTAAATGAGTAATTATCAAATTAAAAGAAAAAGAATTAGAAAAAAATAAGAAAAGTGTTGATTCATTAAAAGGAGCAATATTATTTAGCTGTAGAAAAGACCATATTGATTTCTCTAGGGCATATGTCGTTTAGTTAAAATATGATGGCAACGGTCATCATTGTAAACTACTATTTTTAAACAAGTAGGCCTACATTAACTGTGTATGAGACTTAAATTAAATTTTTGTAACACATTACGTTGTTACTACTAGTGGTAAGGTTACTATTACTATTCTTTATCTATTAAGATTGCACGTTTGAAGTTTTAATTTTTTTAATCTTTATTTTTCTATTAGTTGATCAATTCCCTTTGTAAAAGTGACAATTTGTATCTACTGATTGATCCACTCTCAATCTTAGTAGAACTTGCATTTTATTTTCTGTAAAATTGAATTTGTAGATTAGCTTCTGAATATTACAAAACAAAATTACGTTATATTATTAAGCAAGCATACCAACGTATCCATATAAATATTTAAAATTATGTTAATTTAATTAAAATATTTATCGTAAAATTAATGTAAATGTAACTATTTATAACATTGATAAGTTTCTATCTTTTTTTTATCTTATTGTTATTGATATTGTGTATCGATATACCTAGGTTCTTAAAGCATTTTTTGAAAATAGTTCAATGCAATCAGTATAGAAAAATAAGAATGCCAAAAACCAAAAAAATTAGACAAATCCATACATGAAAGAATCTTTTCTTAAAACAAGAGTAAACATGCAATAAAACAAAAAAAAATAGCAGACGCGACGTGTACATAAGCTAAACAAATAGGAAGAAAACGGTAGAGGAAACAAATACAGTAAAGAATAATTTTGCTACTTTATATTTCATCTCCGCAAAGTGAATTGCTGAGTAAATGTTTTGAACATGTTTAAATTCAAATAACAATTATTTATTGAAATTGGTTGCATTTCGCAATGCATCATGAAACGGTTCTGCTAACCAAAATGCCGAATATTTTAAAAAGTGTGTTAAACTTTATAAACATGTGAGTATTGTTTTTCTAAGTATCAATAAATTTTAATCAAAATGAAAAAGATCATCTAATGTTGTTGTATTCCTCACACACAGAAAGAAGCAGTGGAGGCCCGTAGACGTCCCGTTATAGATGTTGAGAAAACTGTCCTCGTCGCATCGGAAATACAGTCTTTGTTCCACGTTAAACTGTAGGCACGCAAAAAACTTAATAAGATGAAATAATGATGGTTACCACGTGTAGGTAAATAAAAGTAATAGAACCTCTTCATTGAGAATCATACAGACAGAGATACATCATACATAAAACAGCATCGTGTACGAGTGTTGTGTGTTAGAGCATATTTAAATCGTCACAAAGCCACACGTTTATATTTCATCTATTAAAACATCAGTGCGTTCCAGAGCATAATATCAACAAGATTAAAGCCAAAGTCACTTTAACTCAAATTCTATACCTATATATTACATTACTCCAAACCTTAAGAAAAGACAAAAACCTAAGCATTCAACTCCGCCTAAAATTTAAGGGGTGATGGTCCGGTAAAAAACAACATTTTTAGTACTAGAGCGCAAACATTTTTTTCTCTACAGCTTTATTAAACTGTATCCGAATATGCATTTACACTAAAAAAATGATACATTTTGTTTGGTAAATATGACAATGGCGGCTATTTTAAAAATGAACCTCTTCGTTGGATTTCTACCAGTCATAAAATAGTATATTTTAAGTCCAATAAAAAAAATGAATTCATAATCTTCTTCCATAGTTTAGGGCAGGGGTCTCCAAACTACGGCCCGCGGGCCAGATGCGGCCCGCGATGTCCTCTCATCCGACCCGCGGAGATCTTTTTGTGCACGGAAAAAACGTTAGTTGGTGATGGCTGAGGAACTTTGCCCAGAAAAAATCAAAGACATGCCTGGAAGAAACTGGCCCCCGAACTGAAATTTGATAGTTAATGCGGCCCTCGGACTGAAAAGTTTGGAGACCCCTGGTTTAGGGTACTCAGCTAAAAAGGTAAAAACACTAAATTATGGAGAGTTTTTGGGAATTAAATCTAGTGGGTTTTTGACGGACCCACTCAAAATTCATAAGAAATTAGTTTTGATCAAAACACTAACTCTAATCCTAGCCCTGATCCTAACCCTAATCATGACCACCAGACTAACCCTAATCCTAAGCCTAACCTTAATTATAACTAACCCTAACCCTTACACTAACCCTAGCATTCCACTGTGATCGAGGAAGAGCATTTGATGTCTTTGATGTATTTTTAAAATATGTTTATTTTCTCATTATGATGATGTTATGAAATTTTTTTAGATATGCCATTTTGTCATTAACTCGTAAATCATATTGTGAACTAAAAGCATAAAAAAATCTAAAATCATGAGCATCATTTAAAAATTGTGTTAGGTTAGTGGTAACAGGATCAGCTGTCCCCTGTGTGTTTACTGAAGGTGTCAGTCACCCCACCCTCTCCCCCTCCCCTCCAAATATTTTATTTTCAGTGGGGTGTCATCCCCTCTCTTCCTAATATTTTATTACTTTAACTTGATAAAACATAGTTTTGGCAGTACATTTTACAACATTTCGTCAAGATGTCACTCATAAATGATGATCCTGATGCGGAACACACCTTTGCCTTGTTGTGCGATATATTTTACACTAATGAGTAGTTGATAATAATACAGTATCGTATAAATACACAATCAGGACGTGTAAAATACAAAATGTAAACTACTGAAGACTCCACCCTTGTATGCAGCAACCGATTTTTTCGTTGCCCATGTTAAACTTCGCTGAACCTAACAGATAATTAAAGGGACCCATGATAATTCATGCTAGGGGCCCCAAAAAATCCTAGCCACGCCACTGCCAGCAAGTAGAAAGTGGGCTGTACTGCAAGTGCTGCGAACTTTCTTTAGAACTTAGAAAATATCAAATTTCTGTCACGCTTTATTTTACTCCAACTCATTACAAATACTGTATATGGAATATACTAACCGTAACTGAAGGCTAACTTAAATCCGCGTGCACCGTGCAGCCCTTTGGCACGAAATTCGATGTAAAGGTTAACGGGCGAGGTGACTGGACTCGGTATTCTATAGCCACATTCAAATAGAAGAAGATGGCCCCTTGCTGACGTCCCGTTATATATTTTAACGTAGTTATTGTCGTCGCATTGGGAAGATCGTGGTTTTTCTATATGAAAATCTAAAAAGCTGATTTAAAAGATAAAACATATCACATCAATGAAGTATTATTTTTAAACAAAAAAAAAATTAAAAAAAATATATAAAAAGTAGTATTGTATAAGAACCGTCATAGCACTAAAGTTTTTATTTAAAAAGCAATTATTAAAAAAAATTCTTTCTGATTGCTCAAAGTTCGAAAAAGTTGCATGAAAATAGAAATTTAATAGAAATGAAGAACTTTCTAATTTACAGAAGCTTACGTGATAGTTGTAACCTTTCGCTGTACAAAAGGTATAGTCCAGGAAGAAGCTGATTGATATGGGTAGTTGAGCGGGTAGTTTGGGCTTTGTATTATATGTGAGTCACTAGGGGCAATGTTTGCTGCAACAGAAAATTACATCGCTGTAATTGGACGCTTTGACATAGATAATTAGCTATAACGACAACAATATTTACACACTTTCACACCCTTCAGCTTCAGCCATCGAAAAACTACAACGCCCAATTGTATTCATAGTCTATCGCACTTTTTAAAACGAGCATAGGCGCCATAGTGCTCATGAGATAGTTTGGGGCGCCAAATCGCACCCAAACGGGCGTTTTCTGAGAAATCGGTAATAAAGTGTAAGTATTACTTTTGGTAAACGGAAAATACTCAAAAAATTAAAGTAGGCAGGGAAATTGATCTTTTACTTATTTGTGAAATTTCGTTTATCTATGTGAAACAGTACTCAAGTTATAAGCTTTAGACAAACAAGAAGTGGAATAAGTTCCAATTCTGGTTACTGGAAATTGTTGGAAAGTTGAAACAGAACTACAAATTCGACTTAATATTATATATGCAATTTCTTCAAACTTACTTAAAAGGTACTCATGTTATCGTATTCACAGACACACACATACACACACATACAAACACATACACTCACGCAGACGTACAGACACAATTGAGAAAGTATTTTTTCCCGACTTAGCGAGGTTTAAAACGCCGGTTATTTGCACGATTACAATACTTCCTCTATACTTCGTATAAGAGAAAGTAAAAGGAAAGCTAAGATTTTACAAGCTCTTATTCCATGCTTCCCCAGTTTGTCTTTTGTCTGCCTTTAGTCGTCATGGATCGTTTCGGCGAGCAAGATTCCGACCACTTCTAAACAACAAATTGGGCATACAATAATAAACTAATATTTATATAATTTAAAAAAACAGCCTGGATCGCTTCTTAAATTTCAATTTAGGTATTTTAAACATATAATATCAACCCGTGCTTTTTTCAGTTTTGTAAATAGCAGTTCATTCTTTATAAATTTAAAGGAAATCCTTTAACTTTTCCTGTTTAATGCATAACTAAATATAAACTTGTCATAAAAACGTTATCAAAATGTTTATATATATATATATTTTTACTTTCTCGTAAATACGAAATATTGAGAAAGTCTTGTAATCGTGCAAAAAAAATCGAGACTTTTACAAATCTCGACGTTTTACACCTCACTGATTCGGAAAAACATAATTTTTAATCTTGTCCATATGTCTGTGTGTGTCTGTGTTTGTGTCTGTGTGTCTGTGTGTCTGTAAACAAGATAACTTGAGTACTGTTACAGCAAGGTTGATGAAATTTCATATACCAGTATTTCATCAAAATCGAAGATCAGTATCAACTTTTGAGCGATTTCCAATAAACAGAAGTGGTACTTTTTCTACTTTGAATTTTTCAAAAGCCTTCAGCACTATTTCAGATAGATAAATGACATTTCACATGCAAGTAAAAGATCTAATTCTCTACCATTTAACACATTTTGAGTAATTTCCGTCGACCGGAAGTAGTAATTTACGCTATTTCCAATTTATTAAAAACGCATGTAAATTTATAAAGTACTAATAATATTGCGCACTATTATGCACATTTTGTTTTGGTGTTCGCTTGGTGCGCGAATCTTTTTTCTACGAGATTCTATTCTATTTTTAAAAGTTTAAGTAATTAAAAATCACGTCCATATTCCCACGAAGTGTTATATAAGAATATTCGAGAAAGTTTAGGGGAGATCACTCCCGTTTTTTTTAATACTGTAAAATGTTTATTACAATGAAATTGACTGACTAAAAGCCAAATTAACAGAAACAGTGTTCGTATAATTAGCTCGGAAATTAGTAGGCTACTTTAATTAGGAAAATGAAATTAATTTAAAAAAATTAAACACAAAATTAAGTCAGTAGGATTCACATTGTATTGTCACCGGATCTTGACTTTCGCGCTAAATTAAAAACAACTTTGGTCCATTAGCAGTGATCGAAATTTTTCTCGCACGTTACAGTCACGGGTGCCCAAAGGCCTAAGCACGAGGAAGCGAGTTAAACACCACCTTGCAAATACTCAGTTTACAAATTTATTTATGACGCTTGTAATTAAAATGATAATATTAAAACATTTAAACAATCCTGTGCTTTATGTTTTTGACATTAGTAAACGGATTTTTTTAAAATATTTTTTTACGTTTCAGTTTTTCGAAACATTAAGGTTTTTGGACACAAAAAAAAATCCAATTTCTGTAAACCCCAATAAAAACAAAAAACAAAAACTGTTGGCACTGATCGTAACTGACCGTATGTGTGAATGTGTTGCCACTGACCGCAAGTGTGAATGTGTTGCCACTGACCTTAAGTTAAGATGTGTTGGCACTGACCGTAAGTGTAGATGTGTTGGCACTGACCGTAAGTGTAGATGTGTTGCCACTGACCATAAGTGTAGATGTGTTGTACTGACCGTAAGTATAGATGTGTTGCCACTGACCGTATGTGTAGATGTGTTGCCACTGACCGCAAGTGTGAATGTGTTGCCACTGACCGTAAGTGTAGATGTGTTGCCACTGACCGTAAGTGTAGATGTGTTGCCACTGACCGTAAGTGTAGATGTGTTGCCACTGACCGTAAGTGTAGATGTGTTGGCACTGACTGTAAGTGTAGATGTGTTGGCACTGACCGTAAGTGTAGATGTGTTGCCACTGATTGTCACTGACCGTAAGTGTAGATGCGTTGCCACTGACCGTAAGTGTAGATGTGTTGGCACTGACCGTAAGTGTAGAAGTGTTGCACTGACCGTAAGTGTAGATGTGTTGGCACTGACCGTAAGTGTAGATGTGTTGCCACTGTCCGTAAGTGTAGATGTGTTGGCACTGACCATAAGTGTAGATGTGTTGTACTGACCATAAGTGTAGATGTGTTGCCACTGTCCGTAAGTGTAGATGCGTTGCCACTGACCGTAAGTGTAGCGATGTTGCACTGACCGTAAGTGTAGATGTGTTGCCACTGACCGTAAATGTAGATGTGTTGGCACTGACCATAAGTGTAGATGTGTTGCCACTGACCATAAGTGTAGATGTGTTGCCACTGTCCGTAAGTGTAGATGTGTTGCCACTGACCGTAAGTGTAGATGTGTTGCCACTGACCGTAAGTGTAGATGTGTTGCACTGACCATAAGTGTAGATGTGTTGGCACTGACCGTAAGTGTAGATGTGTTGCCACTGACCGTAAGGTAAGTGTAGATGTGTTGCACTGACCGTAAGTGTAGATGAATCTAAATCCCCGTGCTCCAGAAGTTTGAACAGCATTAAACACGACATGCAAGTTGTTAGTGGAGCTTATTGAGCTAGGAATTTTTTGAGTACAAAGTGTTCTCAGAAGCGTATCATTTTCTGAATTTCCCTCATAGATTTTCAGAGTATCATAGTTGCATTGTTCAAAATCATCTTGTACTTCGAAATCTAAAAACCTAAATCAAGAAATATGAATGAAACTTAATCGAGCTGGTAGCATACAACATATAAGCCATAGTTTGTACTGTAACGGCAAGTGCTAGTAATTAAAGTATGAGTGCATGTGCAATTGCAACTGTAGGTGCAAAACAAACACAAGAGTGAGTGAGGGTAAAGGGTAAAGGGTAAAGGGTAAAGGGTAAAGGGTAAAGGGTAAAGGGTTTTCTGCATAGCGTTCTTGTTAGATACATGCAGAGACAGCGAAACTATATATATATGAGAAAAATGGCCCGTTTAGGAAGGATATAACGGGCGCTAGGTTGATAGTGCTGTCTATTTTCTCGGTACTTTAATTTATACAAAATATAGTCATAGGCATATCCATAAACCATGCACCTAATCTCATTCATGACAAAAGTCGCATTTAGAGTTTCTTTTAGGCAACTCTACTTGGGAGGAGGGGGTTTCGCCCCCCCCCCCCCCACACACTCCAAAACATGTCTACCGTCCTATTCAACGAAACATAATTATATACTTTTTCCAGTGTCCGCCCCCTCCCAGAAAATTCTACCACCGCCCCCGAAAATTTCAAGTACCCCCACCCCTCTCCGGGGAGGAAAAAGTCTGAAAGAAACACTGGTGTCGCGCTTAGCCACTTTTTAGATTAGACACATAAATTAGGCGGTAATTTTATTATAGAGTATCGATGAAGAAATTTCTTTTGAGTTGGGGAGGGGGGGGGGGGATGGGGGCTCAGACGTTCTTACGCGTGGGGTGGGGCTTCGTCCCTATCCGAAGAATTGTATGAATGAAACTCTTCACGCAAACCACTTAGATTAGACAAAATTGCATTTTTATTCAATGTTTACTCGAGAATCAATGACAACATATTACTGTGTGCACTCTCCGGCTTGATATTATTTTCTATGTGACGTCATATCTCGTTTTCGTTTCACTGTGAAGGTTTTTAAATTGCTTGTGTTTTCTCTAGAGCGTTCTTGTCAGATACATAGATAGATACATAGACAGATAGATACATAGATAGACAGACAACGAAACTATTATATAGAATATATATATAAAAAAAAAATTATATATATATATATATATATATATATATATATATATATATATATATATATATATATATATATATATATATAATGTTTGTGTGTGTGTGTGCGTGCGTGCATGCGTTCGACCAGTTGGATAACGTTCAATTAATTTCGATATATGATTTTCGTTTCCTAAAATTTTACTTGACGGCTTTTAATTCTCATTAAGATACGTCATTAAAAAATAATATTAACAATGAACAAATAAACCTGATCTGAGTTTCCCATTCAAATGATAACGCGTTATAAAGCTAATTTTCTGTCGGCTAATGCTTTAACGATACGTCCGTTTGCCACTTTTATTAGGTTCCATCACTATTTTCATTTTAACAGTTCTTTTTATTTTAGTATACAAAAATGTCTCTAGATCTAGAATCTACAAATCAGCCCTCAAAGGAAAAAAAAGTTATAGATCTAGAATAAAAGAAGAATATATCAGTAGTTTACCTGTTTATCACGTTCCTAGATAGCTAATATGAGAGTGCATTAGGTTCTCATGCGTGTTGAAGGGGTTCGAGACACATCATGTCGATGTTTTTTTTTGTTTTTTTTTTTCAATTTTTTTTAGATGTGAATGATAAAGTCGCCTATCGGAACTTGACGGAATACAGGGCAGGTGAGCTCACCTGTTTCTGTGTCCTCAGCATATGAAAGGATATTGTGGTCAGAGCCATGCCCGGCCTGAATATTTTTCTTTAAAATAAAAACATGTCTGACACTTGGCGAGACACTGGGCATGTGAAGTAGAGTTGGGTATGTGTAGAGTTCACCTGTGACGTCAGCATATGAAGGGATGGTGGGGTCATACCCATGCTTAGCCGAAATCGGAGTTTTAAAAGACAAAAATGTCTTAGGTGTGTCGTCATTTTGAATATGGGGTCTGATTATTTTGTGATGATAAGTGACAGACGTGATGTCATTTATCTATTACCCCCCAAACCCACAGTTATCTAATGATAACGGGTAGTCTAGAATATATATATATATATATATATATATATATATATATATATATATATATATATATATATATATATATATATATATATATACATATATATATATATATATATATATATATATATATATATATATATATATATATATATATATATATATATATATATATATATATATATATATGCATCTCACGAGATAGTTGTTAGTTTGTTTGGTATAGAAGGTATGTCCCACGATGTACGTCCAATTGGGTAACTGTTGGGAAAGTTTGGGCTTTGTATTTCACCGCCTCTGTTATCGACTGTAGCGGAAGAAGATGTATCCTCTAGCAGACAAAATACAAATTAAAAAGGGAATTAATAATTATTGAAACTAAAATCGCGTAATAAAAAATTGTCTATCTTCTTATATTATGTAGAGCTGACAACATATATAGGCCTATATATATATAAATATATATAATATATATATATATATATATATATATATATATATATATATATATATATATATATATATATATATATATATATATATATATATATATATAATTATTTATATCAAACACATTTTTTTTTGTAAATTTCTATCAAGTTGTCAAAGGCGTAGCGAAGGCGGGTTGGGGGTGCAAAACTTAGAGAGAAAAAGTGCTTTTTTTGCCAGTTCAATTAATAATTTATCAAAGTTCAATAGCCTTTTGATTACAAATACACAATTATAACAACTTAAGAGAAATCAATGCTACGTCCTACTGTAATATTAACTGACTACAGGGTCACACCCGACCTAGCAACGTCGCTGGTCTACTTACCGTATGAATAAACCAATTTAAATCCTCGGCCTGCTAACATACGGTCACAATGGAAGAACAAGTGCAGATTGTGTAAAGATCTTATTGGGTAGGGGATTCTACGACCACAGAGGAGTTGAAGAATTGGATAGGTCGTTGACGTTCCGTTAAATATTTTGACGTAATCAAAATTGCACCCTTTTTCAAATCTCTCTCCACTGCTTGATTGTACATCGAAATCTAAAAAGCTGATGAAAGAAAATTAAACTTAGCTTAATAATGCATTTAACGCGAGTTACCGGAAATATTTATAATTTAGACGACAAGGAAAGAAAAAAAAATATGAACAAAAATGTTTGTGTGTTTGACTGCAAATGTTATTTCTTTTGTGTTGGCTACAGGTTAGAATTTTTATTTTTAATGTGGTTATACATTAAAATTGAACAATGATAGTTTTTAGGAACGATATATAAAAGGTCACTAAACAAACGTGACCCGATTCCAAAGTAACACTGAGGATAGTTACTAACTCACACATCTTTCTTTAGGATGGTATTTGACCAGTTACTAGCTTGAACAATGTTTAACTTTCCTGCCTAAATACCACTGAGGTCAACTACTAACTTGAACTCTTTCTTTGGCATGGTAATTAACCTCACGATTGGCACAGGCTATGATCTTGAAAGCTTCGACTTTCACCACTATCATAGAATAATAACTAACAAAACGAGGTACACATTACTATTTAATATGGATTTTGTTGATATGTTTGCAAAGTTTGTCTTTCCTGATGTCAATCTCTTTACTTGTCTTGAATTAACAAAGTTTCCATTTTCTTAGGTTTACCTATTTGAAACAATCTCTCGTAGTTTGGACACCACTGCACAATTAGCTCGATTGTCGCACACTTTCTATCGATTTCTGAGCTCGTGGTCTCCATGACTTAACATTTATTTAAAAGTTACAACGCTACCTGTCAACTTATAGAATCTTATAGACAAAAGTAGAATTCTAAAAATTAAGTAACTCATGTTTATGTCTATATTTGATTAAAATATAACACTAATGTACGCCAGTTTTTGATGCGCGGTAGATTAAAGATACACGGCAATAAGATTTAAAATTAAGTGTAAGACAAGAGTTTCCATCAGCATCATTATGTGATGGTCAGACTATTAATACATCCTTACATACTTACGTGATTGTCGTAATCTTGTTAGTTCTAGATTGTATGGTCCAATTGTGATTACGGTTATGGCGGTAATTTAATGGATAGTTTGGACTCAATATTTCACCCGTGTAATCGTCCCAAGCGCGGGGTACACTATTTGCTGCAACAAAGTATACAATATTGGAGCAGGTAACATTTAAAAACACTGGAACATACATAATATTTGAATTGGACGGGAATAATATTAAACTTGAGGCACATCAGAGGGGTGTGATGTGCCATTGTGTGATGTGCCATTGTGTGATGTGCCATTGTGTGATGTGACATTGTGTGATGTGCCATTGTGTGATGTGCCATTGTGTGATGTGCAATTAGTGGGGTGTGATGTGCCATTGTGTGATGTGACATTTATAGGGTGTGATGTGACCTTAGTAGGGTGTGATGTGTCATTAGTAGGGTGTGATGTGCCATTAGTAGGGTGTGATGTGCCATTTCGTGATGTGCCATTAGTAGGGTGTGATGTGCCATTAGTAGGGTGTGATGTGCCATTTTGTGATGTGCCATTGCGTGATGTGCCATTAGTAGGGTGTGATGTGCCATTGTGTGATGTGCCATTAGTAGGGTGTGATGTGCCATTGTGTAATGTGCCATTAGTAGCGTTTGATGTGCCATTAGTGGGGTGTGATGTGCCATTAGTAGGGTATGATGTGCTATTGTGTGATGTGCCATTAGTAGGATATGCTGTACCATTGTGTGATGTGCCATTAGTAGCGTTTGATGTGCCATTAGTAGGGTGTGATGTGCCAATAGTAGGGTGTGATGTGCCATTGTGTGATGTGCCATTGTGTGATGTGCCATTGTGTAATGTGCCATTAGTAGGGTGTGATGTGCCATTAGTAGGGTGTGATGTGCCATTAGTAGGGTGTGATGTGCCAATAGTAGCGTGTGATGTGCCATTTTGTGATGTGCCATTAGTAGCGTGTGATGTGTCATTTGTAGGGTGTGATGTGCCATTAGTCGGGTGTGATGTACCATTGTGTGATGTGCCATTAGTAGCGTGTGATGTGCCATTAGTAGGGTACGATGTGCCATTATTAGCGTGTGATGTGTCATTAGTAGCGTGTGATGTGCCATTGTGTGATGTGCCATTGTGTGATGTGCCATTTTGTGATGTGCCATTAGTACGGCCATTGAAGTTAGATCTCTACGATGCTATGGTAATGGAAATTAAGAAACGTAATAGTTTATATTAATTATGTACATCTGTTTAGAGCACATTATCATGACTTTTGCAGGCCTTATGTCTTTTAACAAAACTACCCATTCTAATCCCAGCCAAAATAATTTTGCTGGAAACGCACCCTTCCGGGGCGCCACCAGTGCGTTTTTTTTACAGAAACCTCCCTAGATCTATATTTATGTGCTCCCCTAATTTTCATGGTGATCGGATGAACGTTGTCAAACCGCAATCGACTTTTATTTTTTTTATATAGAGAAGAATTTTGAAAAAAAAAACAATTCGCAGATACTACCTCAGGAGTAGGATATTTTCGACAACTTCCCAAAGTTTTATGGCGATCGGATGATAGGTGTAGTAATGCACAAAAGACAAACAATTCAATTGCATTATAAATTTCGAGTAATAACTAAAAGCAAAGTAGCTTTTTTTCGTTTGAATACTTCGAGTATAGGCCTACTAACCAAAATTGTAGAATAATTTATATCCCTTTGCATTTGAATTTCCATGGATATGGAAATGCAGATACAGGTTGGAGCTAGAACTGAATGTATAAGGCGTATTTCTGCCACATGCTACCATCAGCAGGGGGTGATATGCTGTCGTCCCGTTGTACAGTTTGTAATAGTCTTTGTCGCATTCGTTAAGGTGATTAGGTATTATTATTTCAAACTCCAAAAAGCTGGATAGAAAAAAATGGGTATTAACTTAGCAAATAAACTCAATGCATCGTATGTATAATGTCACACATGTCAAAATATCACAGAGAAGAATTAAGGTGTTAAAATTGGTAGTTGATGTTACACTTTGTTCTTGAAAATATGTCTCCAGTGAGATAACATTCAGACGGTTAAAGCTGTTGATAAATCAATTGAAACGAAGCAAGCGGTTTTAATACCTCTAAGGTTATGGAGACACGGCCTAAACGAATCTGTGTAAACTGACTTTTGTGATACTCTCGGTTAAGACAAAAACATAATAAACACGTATTTACTATGGTTATAGTCATTGTTATGATGCATGCTATGGTCTATGCTATAGATCGGCGCGAATGAATGTTTGTGCGAAAGGTATGTTGAACGCAAGGAATGATGACGCGTATGGTGCGACAGTGACGTTCTGGTGTAGAGACTGGTTGCTAGGTATTGTGCGTGAGTTAGTATGAATTTCTTGGCCTTGGTGGAAGGATGTATGCGAGTTGAGAGTACAGAATTAAAGATAAGAAAAGAAGCATGAGTTCCTCTCATTGATTGTTGGTCGTCCACGTTGTCTTAGTGAATGATGGTACGATGCATGTCTGTGAACACAACATTTCCACATGGTAGTGGTTAAGATAAAATGGTATTGGATCAAATAACCAAAGACACTCACTCAGCGTAACAGTCATCACAGTAATTAACTATAAGGTAATTTCAAACAGAATTTGATTGAGAATGTGCTGAATCTTGTCTACATTAGTCTGAGAGCAGCTGTGTAAAATGACGGTGATGTAGTTGAGACAATCGCGCGGTACTGAGAATCCCATCGGCAACGAAAAGTGCGTATTATTTAAAAACTGCCTTTTACCGAGTTTCATTGATAACACAATTTTTTAAAGATTTTACGCCACTAAAAGTAAAGTTACCAATTTTAATCAGTATACGATCAACATATTAGTTTAAATGGTAATTACTTTTAATCAGTAGATGTTAATCAGTTGTTTATTTTTTTTTACGAATTTCTGACAGGAAAGCCATTAACAGGTGTAGAGCATTAAACCAATTCTTTGTTTCAACCATTTCTATTTTATTGTGTGCTTGTCAGATTGAAACATTTTATGTATTCATAACAAAATAATATAACTAAATTTTAAATAATATAACTAAAGTTTTTCTATACTCTTTATATGATATACGAGTCTATGGATATTTATGCGATTCAGATTATAAAAAATGAAACAAGTTACACCTGAAAACGAAATCAAAACATGTAACATACACTGAACTATTGTGAGCTCCCAAAATAAAATTAAATGCATAATTTCTTGCAGTGTTTTGGAAAAATGTAACTCGAATTGAATGTTTTCAAATAATCAGATACGAAATTGTGTTCTACTCGAAGCGAATGGTTTTACATCATCAGATCAGAAATTTTGTTCTACTCAAAGCGAAAGTATCACATAATCAGTTCAGAAATTGTGTTCTACAAATAGAAGCTTACGTGATGGTTGTAACCTTTCCAGGTTTAGCACGTATGGTGTAATAGAAATCTTTTCCCCACGCTGGGTAGTTCAGCGGATAGTTTTCACTTTTTATAAAACCCGTCTCATCGTCGGCAGTTGGAGCATAGTAGTTCGCTGGGAAAAAATGAATTGAATTACTTTCATGGTGTAATCAGCTACTTATGTAATTAATTATCTAATTACGTACGTAGCTGACAGAAACATGTGTGCAGTTAAAAGTGTTACGTTATGTGTTAGTAATTAGTGCTACGTCCCTTGTATTATTTAACTTTTAATTAGTTAAGTCCCTTGAATGTTTAGTCTCTATGTGCGTGCTGGTATGCAGTGTGTTATCAGTGAGTCCCTGGAGAGAAGATGCGTCATCTGGGCTGTATTCTATGAGTAATAAAGTAATGAAGTTAACGTGAAGGAGGCTCCTGTTTATTCTAAGTGATTGGTAACCAGTAATGTAATGAAAATATTGGAACAATCGAACTGTGAGACAGACAAGGACACTTCACATATTAGTCCTGTGGTTTTTCAGGGTATTATACTTTTTTCTGTGTCTGGGAAAAAATAAAAATTTGTTCCAGCCGAAATAGTGCTGACCACACTAACCCTCCATATACCGAGTCCACAGAAACAGATGAACTCTACTTCACCAGCCCCATTGGCCGTGAGGTGTGAAAGGGGACCTTTTTCTATATGACAAACCAGTAATCATAATTTAAATTCTTTTTAATATACAACCGAAAAAAAACATATTTGCTATAACTGAACAATGTTAATATGTTATAGTTCTGCCTTCTTCGTTCTTACTTGTAATATCGAATGGTTTTACCCAATACAAGCAGTAGCCTACGTGTCAACGTGTTATGCACCTTACGGCCCACTGAAGTCAGCATGATATAAATTTATTTGTAGACCACAGGGGATAAACCACGATTGTCACAGTTATCTACTTTTGAGAAAAATGAAATTTTGTGTTTTAAATTATTTGCTGTTTTATTGTGGCATGCTTTTGAAAGCCTAAATATTAATGGGAATAACGTGTTTCTACATTTTCATAATGTCATTCGTAATGCATCTGTGGTTTATCCCGTGCAGTCTTCTTTCGGTTCCATAGCCTTACTTCATCCAAGAAGAATCAACGAGACAGCAGGTATTTTCTTATAAAGATTTTTTTTTCTAGATGGGATTCTGTGCCCAGTCTACAGATTTCAACCGCTGGGCTGTCTGAACTCTAGAGCCAGCAAACTTGACTAATCCAGTCCGAACAAGCAATCTCCTATGTTACACCAAATTATTTTTTCTTTAAAATAAAACAATTTAACTGAGCAACTATTTGAATCCTCCATTGAAAAACAACATAATAAAAACACATTTTACTGAACCCATTGGTTTAAGTTAATAACATTAACTGTAGTTAATTAACATATAACAAAGCCAGCCCAATGATTTGAAGTTACAAACTGTAGAAAATAAACACTTAGACTACACATGAAATCAATATGGCTGACACTGGCTGTGTATGCATTGTTGATAAATCCATAGGTAATGCTGAATTGTTGAATAACGTGTACATAAAAATATCTGCTTAAAAACAAAAGTGTGATTCTTGTTTCTTTTAACATGCAGGTCTATATTTCATTTTCATGTAAATATTAAAATACAATTTTGTACAAAACAATATATTTGTTAATATTACAATCATTCTTAAATA